AAAGAATTAGGCAACATTCCATCAAGTTGTCCATCAAACTATCCTTATACTTCCAGAATAATTAAAGAAGCCTGCGACATTCGATTAACCAACCTAGTCTGCATGTGGCTAAATTTCATTTTCTTGATCCTATTCATGATATCATTATGCACTCTAAATTATCAAAAACTTGATGTAGGTCATGAAATGGATAACAGAGGTTTACCTGAGATGGAAGATCTTAATATTAAGAAAAAGCCAGGTGATGAATTTTTATCGGTGGATTCTTCCAAGATGTATTTTGTTGATCGTGAAATGACAAGATCTCCTGGGGATCTTTCTTAGTAATGATAATACGTGTATAAATAGAATAATAAATATATACTGTATATCAATATAGAAGAAAAAAAAAAATCGAATTTTACGTGCATATACACACATACATATATACATATATATATATATATATCCTTTTATTTAGTATATATTGTATATTTTATTTCTAAATTTAGTCACTAACTAGATTATACAAGTTTTTTCTTTTTTTAATTCATTTCAATAATCGATGTCAATCTTTAATTTTTTTTTTTTTTTTTAGATTAAAAAATTTAAAAGGAATTCCTTAGAAAAAAATTTACTAACTTTATTAAAAGAATTTCTTGCTTAAAAACGGGCTTTTACTTTTTGAAAGAACTTATTAAAATTTATTAGTCTCGTTACATTAAAATAAATATATATATATTGTTACAATTACAAAATAATCTAATTTTATCACCAGAAATTAGTACATATGTGCATACGTACGTACGTAGCTAATAAAAAATTATCTAATACGCATGTACGTACATACATACGTCCATACATGCGCTTTTTACTATTATTACAAGATGTGAGTACAGTACAAATTACATACCAATACGGTTAAACAATTAATTTATTCTTAAAGATGTATCGCAAAAAAAATTAGTCATCGATAACGAACTTTGGACTTATGGGGATTTTTATGTCCAAATCAATGTAATTTAATCTATCAAGGTCATCTGTGTGATTATTATTTGATTTGCTTACTTTATTTAATCAAATTAATCATAGATATATATAAATAGAAAAACAAAATGGTGAAATTTTGCTTAAAATATTACGTACATAAAATTGATTGAAAAAAAACCAATACATACGTAGTTCCTTTAGACCTTTTCCAAAATTTCTAAAGACAAGAATTCCATATATGTACGTCCCCTGGATCAATTAGATAATTTATAAGTTATTATAATTTAGATAATTTTTTAAAACATAAAACAAGTAAAAAAAAAAATTGAATTACTAACAATATATATTGCAAGCCAAAATAATGTTGACGGAATGACTATATAAAATCAATAATATTAATTACAATAGATTAGATTTAAATCATTAAATTAATTAATTAGATATATAGATGAGTTAGATTAATTATTGCTATTACATACCAGCAAGGATTAAATAGTCCCATTGAGTAAACTCAGCTTCAAAATTTAAAACCGAGTTTGAAATATTTGTAACCAAATCAATTATAACAGCAATTATAACATATAACCACAGTATTGAAAATATTATCATTCCGGGTCTCCATTCAGAATGTACCTATTATGTATTATAAATATTATAAATATTATAAATATTATAAAAAATATCGTAAATATTGTAAATATTTTGATTAATCTTATCGGAAATTAAACTTTTCATGAAAGAGATTGATTTAATAATACTAATAATAATGATGATGATAATGATGATAATGATATTTACAGATTTATATGCCATTATTACAAGAAAGAAATTTACAATGGACGCAATAACGTGAATTATAGTTAGAACAGTTGATTCTTCTTTAAAATTTTGGTATACGTAATTTCCGAGGTGAATATATGGAACAATAAAAGAGAATAGGTAAAGAAGTATGGTGAAGATATTCATTTTTAGAAATATCATAAAGATCAAATATTTCTTATATGAATCTAAAAAAAAATATATATATATTATATAAGTTAATAAGTATAATAATATAAAATAATTAAAGTATCATTTTTATTATAATTTTCATCATACTTCTCATCTTTACATCACCGCCTATTTTTTTATAGATATTCCATCCAAATTGCTTATAGAGCATAAGCGAAAACCAGGTCGAGATCGCAGTGAGCAATAAAAGTATACAGAGGAATGGAATGTCATTTGTCCAAAATGAAGGATCAAAATCTGTTTTCCCTACACATGCTTTAATACTATGTAATTGATTTAAAGGGAATTTTAATTCTAGGCCTTGAACCTTTGGTATAAAGATAAAATTAATATTTTGTTTGTTTTAAAAGAACTAGTAAAGAACTAGTATAGAGTAGATAATAAATAGAAAACTGATAAAAAAAAGATAGAAAACTGGTAGATAATAATGAAAAAACTTACAAGACCAAAGAAAAGCCAGCCGAAGTTAAAAAAACAAATGGTCGCGATTTGTATGGAGTGTTCGTGAAATACCTAAAAAGTTAACAAATTTAACCAAAATAAATCAATACTATTCCCTTTAAAAAATATTCCCTTTAAAATATTCCCTTTTAAAATATCACTTAAATATTTTTAAATTGATTGATAATTGATGTCCATAATTAATTTCTAAATTGATATCTAACTTGATTTCTAATTGACTTTCAATCAAATTGATTTCTAAATTAATTTCTAATTAATTTGATTTATTTCTAAATGATTTTCAATTGATTTTCGATTGATTTTTTTTTTAATTGATGATTAATATTTTTTGACATTCATACTAATATTTTCTAACGTTCTCTTAGTTTGTCAAAATCTCTTTACGATTTTTAACGATCTCATGATGGTTTTTTAACAATTTTGTGATGGTTTTTTAACAATTTTTTTATAGATTATTTAATATTTTATAACATTTATACTAAGTTTGTCAAAATCTCTTTACGATTTTTATCAAATAAAGATTAATTACCGCGTTAAAAAATAAGTAGAGTTGCCAAAGATGAAACACAATAAAAATGACGTTATTTCCAGCCAAGAATTCTAATGGAATTCCACTAAAATTTCTAATGAGTTCGTCGTAGCATTCATGGTTTAACCTTTGAAAATCTTTGGCATATGGATTCGGTGTTAGTTGAAGATTTACATTGCGTGTCAAGAGCTTCATTTGAAAAACTACGATAAAAATGGTTTGGAATATCGCTAATATTACGGCAAATTTTGTGATTTTGGAGGCGGTTATTCTTTGCCACTGTAAAAAAAAAAGAACGTTGAAATGTTATATATAAGCAATTAATATATAATTAATATATATGTGTATATATAACTAATAAATGCATTTTTTTAAACATATTTCCAACGTATTTTTTAACGTATTTTTTAACATTGTTAACATATTTTTTTAAACGTGTTTAACATACTTTTTTTATACAATCCCTCTTAAGATTTTGAAAAAAGAGTGTCGAGACCATTGCACTGTGACCAATGCAATCATCAAAATTATAAAATTAGACCAACTAATGCCCTGACGAAAACTACACGTGATGGTAATTCTTCAAATGTAATCACGTGGCATATTATAAGTCTATGCGAGCTTATGCGAATCTTTCGAAGAGGGGAAAGAGAATGTATAAAAAGATGAAGACAAAAAAAAAAAAGGAGGGCAAAAAAAAGAAAGTAAAAAAAAATTAGAAAGGTAATGCAGTGATGCCTTTTTACGTATATTTTGATAATGTTTAATAAATTTAAAAATATTTAATCGGTAATTGCATATTGCTACATATGTTAATAAGTACGTAATTCAAATGTACCATGTGCTAACAACACATTGCTCTTTTCGGTTTTGGATTTACATTACTTACCTTAAAATTCATACGGCCCGCATAATATTAAATAGTAAGTGTACGACAATCCTAATGTTATCGTTATTTTCGGTTTATCGGATTAAACTATTTACTAATTCCCGTGGTCTGTTTTTAAATTGTGCCTGGTAAACTGACTGTTTGTACTGTCTTCTTATAATGTACAAGGATAAATGTATTAAACATTTTATTACAAAATTGGTATTCTAGAATTCCTATATTGATTCAAAATTGATTCACTGATTTTTTTCTGTTACAATAATTTTCGTTAAAATAACATTTCATTGGTAAAAAATATTCCAAATAATCCCGAAATTTTTTTTGTTTTTGCAAATAGTAATAGATGGTTAATATAATCTTTTCGTAAACAGAATTCATTATTTACAATAACAAATGATGGTATAGTTGGTATAGTGTAAATAGTAATACGTGTAGTGTAAACATAATGTATACATAGTGTATATATAGTGTAAATATAGTGTAATGATATATTTATATGTTATAGTATGTTATAGTGTAGTAATATTGTTATATAACTATATAACTATATAACTATATAACTGTATAACTATATAACTATATAACTATATAACTGTATAACTATATAACTATATAACTATATAACTGTATAACTAACTGTATAACTAACTGTATAACTAACTGTATACGTAACTAACTGTATAACTGTATAATGTATACGTTATACATATAATTCTCTTCTGTTTCCGGGCTGTGCAAAATTTTGTACTCTCATTCATTTTCGTAAAGTTTATCGTTATCGTTATGGGCAACAATACATCGACCTAGTTCATTTATAGTTATCGTCATGAATTGTATTTTTTATAACGATTTAAGCCTGTTTCTGATTCTGAATGTAGTTACACAATGTCCGGACGTTGTCTGGCTGAATTACCGAGGTGTACTGATCGGGTAAAAATATTTGTGTACTGTATATCGATATCGATATTATATTATATCATAAAAATAAAGTATAAGGATAATAATGCGATGAACTATATTTATTGATTAATTGCATATATTCGCATCAAAAATTGGACAAATTGAGCATTACTTTAAATTTAACCACCTTTTCGATCAAGAAATTTCGGAGTACTTTGTGTGTATGAGCTGCACGAAAGTTTCACTAAAAGGACCCCTTAGTTGTTGCTTTGTAAGGTAGTCTTGCCTTTAAAAGGTAAAAATGATAAGCCTGTATTACTTTCTATGCATCAGGTTTTGATTATAAATGAAATCATCCAGAATTCAATATGACTCTATTAACTCATGTTCTTCCGAGTTACAGACGTACGTACGTACTAAATACATAGGAATAATAAAACAACTTCTTTCGGATTCGATCGTGGTTAGCTTGGATCAATTAATTTTAATCAATCTATCCCGCAGTTTAAACCTAGTCTTCCTTTGATAGGAAGCTTTAATTTTATCACATTTTCATAAGGCGCT